AAAGATCAAATCATCAATTCAATGGATTTTTGTTCAAGCTTTTGACCTAATTCCATTCCTCTATATATATGCAAGCAAACCCTAATCAGAACACGTGAGAAAGCTGCAGAAAAAAGCCATAGCAATTCAAGAAAATTCAAAGAAAATTGCAAACTGATTTCTACATTTCAGGGCGATTCAAAAGGTTTTATTGATTCTAATACATTGTAGGAGGTCCCAGAGATAATTTACAATTGAATTCACGTGCTAAAACTCAAGGAATCGATACCTACAGAACCACGATTTGCATTTTTTTCCAGAATCATATTGATTAATTCATGCATATTTTACATGATTTCTTGATTGTTTTGCATTGCTAGAGGTCATACCAAGCTGGTGGAATGGTTTAATTAAACTGAAACGCCATAAATCACAAGATGCCATAGTTGAATTTTTAGGGTTCATAAGCTTTGAATTGGGGCTTTGCAATCCAGGAAAAATTAGGACTCCTAAGGCATATGACTGAATTCGTGAGGACCAGACGAACCTGACCAAACCCTCGCGAAATATTTATGTGAACCACAGCGCTAATCGCTATTTTTCCTCGTAACATATTGTGGGGGTTAAAAACCCCCGCTATCTAATGTTTATTATGCAGGAACAATGAAGAAGATGATGAGGTGTTAGCATACTATTGGATCCTTTGAAAATCGCGCGCTTTTATTTTGTTTTCAGGCACATGTATTTGTTTGTTAATATAATAATTGATCTTTATCTTACTAACGATTGAAGCAGCGTAGTGGAGTGGTTAAGGAATTGGCTTGGAAACGTTGGGACCTGGGTTCGAATCCCAGGTCCCCCAAAAACATTTATTTCTTTTCCTAACATATTCACATGCAGGCTTCCAAAGGTGATCCACCATGTACCTCACTTATCAACACTCCAAATGGCTTGTAAAGCGAATCTGAAGGCCAGGATGGAATGACTACCATAGTCCCTGGTCAATGCACGCATGGACAATCACCAAAGTCAAAAGGGCTTGCAGCTTGTTGGGCCTTCAAATTTCCAGAATCACCTCCTAATTGGGCCAGCACCCCCCTGGGTTTATTTTCTTTTTTCTCTTTATATTTTACATTTAATTATTTTATTATTAATTATTATTATTATTATTATTATTATTATTTAATTAACCAAATTAATTTTTTCATAATAAATTCAGAAAACATAAAAAACATAATATTTTTATTTATTTATTAATTTCACCTTTAATTTATTATTTTTGTAAATAAATGCTAACACAATTAATTTAGTTCTTTAATTAGGTTAACTTTAATTATTTTCATAATAAATAAAAATCATGTAGAATTAGGGTTTTGACAATTTTAATCCTTTTATTTTTATTTTATTTATTTATTTCCTTAAAACATAAAAAACCAAAAATACTTCTTTTTGTTAATTAATTAATTAGGCTTAATTTAATTTAATTCCTAAATAATAAAACTTCCTTATTTCTCAAAAAAGGGTCAAAACCCTAAGGACTTCTCCGATTCAATTTTCTTTCGCGCATATTATTTTTGATCATTATTATGTAATTGCTCCGAGGATGTAATAGCTTTAATTAGGACATTTTTATCGCTTTTATTTATTTTCCGCAATTTACTTTTTCAAAGGGTTTGCTTTTGGCGATGTAAATACCCGACGCCTTGTAATAGCGTAGCTTTACTTTCCGCAATTTACTTTCCGCAACATTTAACTGCTAGATGTATGTTAATTAGGCTATGCATGACAAGATTTCTCTGAAAATAAAATCAATCGTAGCTCACCATAACTTGTGCAAAGATAACTTAACTGAATCCTGACATACTCGCACATGCCACTCCTAGGGTCCGCCTCACTTGGTTGCCTCGAAGTGGTCATTGAGTATAGGGTGTTTTAGAGGTCGCCCTCTTGTCTAAAGATCCAAGTTGCCTCGAAACGGTTGCCTCGATAAAAAATGATCTAAGACATTAGGGTTACCGCTAAGGCGTCATACTATTGCTTTGGTGGCCACATGTCCCTATAATCGAATTGACCCGAAAACTCCGACGACGGTGCTACCTACTTCTCAATAGTGGGATAGTACTGTCTAAAGGACATTTACACAGCTTAATTTCTTTTGAGTAGGTAGAGGTTCTCAGGTACTTGCTCTTTCAAAAAATAAATAAAAATACTTTTCGCACCTACACTTTTCTGACAAAAGTTTTCAAACAAACACTTCATACACTCTTGAGGACAAATACAAGAGTTAAATCGAAGTTTTCAAACAAACTTTTTTAAAACCCACATACACAAGAAAAACAAAACATTTTTGAAAACATAGTGAGCAAGTACCTAAGAGCCCGTGGATAACCACGGATAGAAAGGGTGCTAACACCTTCCCTTTCTATAATCTACCTCCCGAACCGAGAAACATCTCGAAAAGGAATTTTGTTGTGCTTTTGTCCTTTCCTTGTTGGAGAAAATAAAAGACGGTGGCGACTCTTACTTACCGCGACATTTCGCGAACCAGCATTCCTAAACAGTCAGTTCTATTTCCACCGATCACATTAAGTAATAGTTTTTCTAAAAAATTTCATCCACACTTTTGGTTTCTCCTGCTAACGTCCGTTAACAAAATTGACATGACACTACCACATGACTGTAACAACGGTCAAAGATGCTAACGTGACATGTCACGTGACTAAAATCAACATCATACTTGAACCCTAAAATTTCATAGTTAAAATCGTAGCTAATCTCTAACAAATTCAAGAACCAAAAAATGAAAATTGATTAAATTTTCAAGCCTTTATTTATTCTAATTTCAAATGCATGCAAGATGTAAAATATGTTTCCTGAAAAATAGCATAATACAATTCTATATTGTAGGTGAGTGGTTTGATATTGGTTCACCATAGGATATAATAAAGGTTGAATGTGATGGTCGATGAAAATATATATGTTCACGCAGCCACTTTAATGCATTTTGTTAAATGACATTTGGGAAAGTAGGAGTTAAAGTTTTCAAACTTAGGATTCTACTAAGAAATAGAAGTTTGTGGTAAAATGTAATTGTCAAACTTAGCACTTTGTTACATTTTATTTGGTTTGTGAAAGGTCACTGGCCGGTTTTGGTTTCAGTGCTACCTCTAATGCTGCTGCCACCTCACAGTTTGTGAGGGCTGAAATGCTCCCTACTAGCCACTTGGTTCGACCATACGAAGGTTGATCGGTATTGAAGTGACTGAAACCATTGAAATCAAAGAGATATGGTATGTTTTTAAGTCTAGATTAATGTATTTGTTTCATGCTGATGTGGTTTTTGATATTTGATTTCATTGTTGTTTTTTTTGCTTGATGAGCTGTGAGTGTAAAGTAATAGCATAGACTTTCTATTTTTGATCTTTGAATTTGATACATTAAATTTAGAGTTAACGTTGAATACTATAATGAATAAAAGACATAGTTATTGTAGAAAGAGATGATGAATTAAGGTGGTGAAGAAGAAGCATAGTTATTTCAAAACACTTTCAAGTATATCAAAACAATATGATCATGCTGCATGCATAGTATCTTAAAAGAATCAGAAGCATATGGAGTGAGAATGATGGCTTAGTTACCTTTTTGTATGCTAATATTAGGACCTTTTGTGCAATCAGATTTTTTCTTTGTTTCATTTTGTTTTAGTAGATTTGGCACCTCCATTGCATATCTATATTTCTTTCTTTTTCATCTCAGGCCATTGGGTTATTAATCATATAAGGACAATAATTAATATCACCCACACTTTTTATTAATCTTGACTTTTATTTTTATTCATTGTGTTATTAGTTTTGTTGAACATACAATACAAAAGGAAATTCTCTTTGATTATGTGTGGTTGTCTCATTTTGCATGTGAAATAAAGATACTTGCTACTTTTACTTTTGCAGCAATAATAACATACAGTTAATGTATTTCCAAAGAAATTATGAATCAAAGATTTAATTTCAAGTATATTTTCTGAGATCCATATCACCATTTTTGAAAAAGTATTAAATGCATTCCACATTGATCAACATGTAAACAAAATCATTATCTTTCTTTCCCCGACAACTCAATTATCATTTTAAGTATAAATAAATTAGCCATCAAAATTGTTTCACAAGCGAACATACAACATCATTTCCTGCAACAAATGCATTGGAGGCGGCAGTAAGACCAACGGAAGGAACTCAGTCGTAAATTTCCAATTAGTCACTGAAAGACTGGTTCTAGTAAGCCTTGTTAAACCACCAAGTATCACCCATGCTAAACACCCCTATGCAGTAGAGACTGGAAAATTCTTGCACTTAAGTCCTTTGCATCAACATGAACAAATTGCACTTTAGCTAGAGATTAGCTACGATTTTAGCTACGAACTAGCTATGAAATTTTAGGATTAAAGTATAATGCTAATCTTAGCCACATGGTATGCCACATCAATATTTTAGACACCTGACACGACCACGTGTTAGTACCACGTCAACTCTATTAACAGACATCAGCGAGAGGGAACAAAAATATAGATGAAAAATCTTAGAAAACTATTATTTAAAGGAAATGTTTAAAAAGACTAAAAACGAAGTTTATTATATTTAGAAAACCAAAAATTTATTTAATCTTAAATTTAAATTACAAAATCAGCCTTCTACATTTTTGCAAATTATAACATCGTCTTGATTTATTTTAGTTTGCAGAAGGTATCCTCCGATTATTAGATACAAAATTAACTGCCATTAATCACAAAATAAAAAAAAAAAAAAAAAAAAAAAAAAGAATAAGAAAAACTCGCGGACTTTCCCTCCAGTTCTGTTAGTTCGTTAAAATGAAATAACCGCCAAGAGAGAGAAACTGAAAGCACCGAACTCAACACAAACACTCACTACAAATTTTCCCTCTCTTTCCACTCTTCTTTTCTTGAGAAACAAACAACTCCAACTTTTCTCTTCATTCAACACAAAACTCCAAACCCTCTTTCATCAATGGATTTCGAACCAGAATTTCCCATTCCAACTAGGAAGGAAATGGAAACCATAACAAACTACCTCGCCGTGGAACCAGATTTCATAGCCGCGGAAAACTTTTTCACAACCCGTCGCCACATTCTTCTTCGCAAGCACGCCGTTTCAATTATCGCCAAGGTATACCACGATTTGAAGCTTTCTTTTCGTTCATTTCTTCGCGGAAAATGAAATTCATGCTCGATTATGCCGTTCTTAGATTCTTCTCACACATTGCTTTCTTGTTTGAGGTTCAATTTCAGATCTGCTTTTTCTTTCTTGCTTTCAATCTTCGTTAATTTGTTGTGTTCAATTTCAAGTTTACTGTTCTGATTGTAGAATCTGTAGTTAATTTTTTGAAATTTCCTTTCCAGATCTATGCCGCATGGAAAGAAAATTTCAGTAACTGTAAAATTGCATGAATGTATTGATCTCGTTTGCTAGATCTTGAAATTGTTGAACTGATTGTTTCTTGAATGTTTTGCTATTCACAGCTCTCGAGGAGTATTGTTCCTGATACTGATGCATTTATTCCTTATCTTGCTATGAACTACTTCGATCGTTTCCTTTCCAGACACAAAATGATTCTGAAGGTACCATCATATATATTTTTTTAATTTTATTTTTCTTTGAATTATTTCTGTTAAAAACTGAAAATTCTTTGGTTATAAGGATGTGGAAGGTTTTATGGATTCTGCAAAAGTTCGTTTGATTGCTATCGCTTGTCTCACCTTATCTGCCAAGATGAGGACAGGATACTTCTCAGTTAATCAGCTTCTAGACAAGCTATATGTGCGTGTCATTTAACTCGGAATTGAAACGTATTTGTTTATTTCAATTTATGCGCAATTAAGTCACGAAACTTATTTGTTGTACAGTTGGAAATGGATGTGAGTATATCTTATCTGAAGGTAATGAGAATGGAGCTTATGATTCTTGATGAACTTCATTGGAAGATGCGATCTGTGACTGCTTTCTGCTTTCTGAACAACTATAACGCTTACTTCAAACGATTCGGTAGTTTTAAACGTCGTTGCATTAATGAGATCATAGTTCAAGCTCAAGGAGGTAAGCAGAAACTGATTTATCATATATCAATAATGTATGTTCTCTAACAGTGATGCTTGGACAGTATATTATATTAACTGGATTTTTTTCCGTATTCTGCAGAGGTCGCCTTCATTCACTACTTGCCTTCTCACATTGCATTGTCTGCTTTTCTGGCTGCTGCCAAAATTGCATATCCCTCAAAGTTTAAGGAAATTGCAATACACATTGAGAGCAAAATTGACCTTCAAGTATGTTGATTGAAAAATTAAATGTGGATCGTGTTATGTGTCTAATAGTATTTCTCCATTTCTCAGAAGACTTTAAGAGCAAAATGTTATAGTTTAGTAGTATAAAACATAAATTTCTAGAATCAGTGACATAATTAGGCCATTACACACTAAAAGTTATACTTAGAGTAATGAGATGTACAAATTATGCCAATGCTTTTTAATATCTTATTGCAGGGACAGGTGAAGGAATGTGTGAAGAAGATGGTTAATCTTTGCTATAGATTGAACATTGAGATAGAGGCCCCCGGATCAGAAATTTGCACGGCTTCAAGCAAAGTCGTGGCGGTATCTGAAGAGAAAACCAAAGAAGTTGGAACATCAGAGATAAAGGAAATCCAACAAAGCAGCGGTGAGGGGGCATTTGTGGTGGATTCATCTGAAGAAAAAGAAGAGACTCCTCTAATCAGGCAAAGACGGGACAAGGGAAAGATGGAGACTTCTCATTTGCAGGAGGACGTGGAGGTGTTATCTGATAAAACAGAAGTGGCAGCAGAAGAAATTGAGGTGGAAAAACGAAGATTGTTCAAGGGCAAGGCAGTGGATGTGACTGAAACATGTGATGATGATAAAGCCAGGGTTGAGGCTATAATTCAACGAGCAGTGGAAAAGGGTGCGGAGGCACAGGCACAACCACGGATGGAGGGATACATATCAGAGATTATAGAGCTTGCTGATCAGCCAAAGAGGCAGATGGACTTTGAGCTGAAGTGGCCCATTGTTGTTCCATCACTAGAAGAAGAAATAGAAGACGCGCAGCCACAAGAGTCCACAACCATAAGCCTTAAAATACCTGGGACTAGAAGGAATCTAAATTTTGGCTGCGGTACCTGCAACGTCAGTTAGTTCTGCTACTGCAAATGTTATAAACTAGGAGTACTACTTTTCATTTGGCTTTATGGTCTAGGATTTGGCTTTGGATTGTGTCCAGTTCAAAACTATCACACTATTATTACCGTTGAAGTTTACATTTTAGACTTTGTTAAATTCTCACTAATCTTTCAAACTTTCTAGGCTATTTTTAGTTATTATCACATGGTGTACTAGCTATTCGTAAACTTCAGAACCCAGGCTGATTATTTATTACTAGCACCAGCCACTTCCACAATCAACTTATTGCCTTATGAGAGCACAAGAAACATCCTATACTATTAACTAATGGTATGTTAGGGAATTAGTTTTGAAGGGAAAATTTTAGAGCATAGAAGTTATGTATTGATATAGACAAAATAGATAAGCATATAATATTTCAATCACTTTTGTAATTGATTATTTAAAAAATATTTGATTTTTAAACTTTAGAAATAAAAAATTAGGACTTGTTTGATGAGTTTTGGTCTTTAATTTTAAAAAAATATATATTAACAAACTGTTCTTTAAAATAAAAAGAAAAGAAAATCCAATTAGTAACCACAGTTTTAAAATCTGTTTTAGAGAATAGAAAAGAGAAAAATTGTTTGGTAGATTTACTTTTAAAATGTGTTTTTTAAAAGTTTAAAACTTGTATTATATTAGAGTTAAATATGTTTTTATGGTCTTTTAAAATTATCATATTTTTATTTTTTCTTAAAAATTTATATTTTTCAGTCATCACAAGATTAGCATGCAACAATTATATTCTCTCTTGAAACAAAATATGTAAATGATCAAGTATTTAGGCTACATTGGTAAACGAGTTGTTGCAAAGAAACGATGATTCTGGAAATACCAAATTCAATTTTTAGTGGATCGGCACGGGCTCCGCATTACTAGAGTCGTATTCCCTTGAAAACTAAAGTGGGTGTCAATCATCTTCACCAGCTTTAAAATATTATGGAACATAAGGAGTTGTTGAAAATAATTTTTTGTGTCGAAGCAGTTTGTTCGACAGAGACAAGGAAATGTCAAAATATGGTGTGTCAAAGAAAATGCACATAGATTTGATTTGAGATTTAGATAGTGATCTTAGCAGTTGATCAGAACCTATAAGGTGGTCGGATAATGATCTTCTGTCGGGCTGGAAAATCGAGGAGGAAAAAGGGAGTTGTACTTACAAGACACTCCGACGATCAAGTAAGTGTGAGAGCAAAAGAGATACAAGCAAAGTATTAGAGTTTTATGGATGAATAGTGGATATTCCATCTCTGGCTCTCACATGTGTGAGGGTTTATATAGTGTCCCTGGCACTTGTCCATTGGTTCCTATTTTTGGACCTAGATATGCGGGTCCGCAAAAATAAGTAACTGCCAGGACTTAGTCAAACCAGGCATGTGTGTCCGTAACTAGCAGTTGGTTGCGAGGAGGAGGGGTAGGTTACGAGCAGCGGTCTGGTCGATTCCTGGTTGTCTGGCCGACTTGAGCTCGATAGACTGAGAGACGCTCGTCGGTCGTCGTAGGTCGATGTTGGTCCAGGAGGACAAACGATCGATGATGCCCGACGGAGGGCGGGGGAGCCCGGGCCGTGGTCGCACGGGTCGCGCCGAAGGAGGAGGTCAGACTGGGCCCACTTTAGCTATCGGGTCAGTCCAAAACAGTAGCCTCCCAAGTCGTTGCTTCTAGGTATAAGAGTGATGACTTTAACACCTGCTCATGGAACGGGGTACTCCATACGGGGAACGTGAGCGCCACCCGTTGCGCCTTTCTCGCGGGGAGAAGGTTAGTGGTGGTTTGAACTTCCAAAATTAAAGAGGTAGCATGTTTCGGGCGGTGCGCCGATGCAGCGGCGCAATAATAGCCTTGGGGCTAGGGTGCAATGATGACGATCCTACGGTTCCCTAGACATGTATCTCTCACGCGCATGCGAGTTTAGCTATAAATACGAGAGGAGTAGGACATTATGTACTTTTCGTTCTTCTCTCGCATTGCTCGTTATTGCTCGCCTGTCGACCGCCAATGTTTCTTGAAGATTAAATGTTCGTCGCCGCTCCTTTCAGCCTTCTTTCTTCTTTGATTGGTGAGATTCCATACTTTCGTTGTTATTTGGCCATCGTAGCTTAGATTTTTACGATTTTCGTCTTAGAAATGCATGCGGTTAGGCTTAGGATCCTATATGAGGGAATTTTTAGGGGAGTGTTGGTAGCAGACAGTGGTTCTGTAGTTTAGAAACACCGGAACTATCGTGGATTCTCTCCGGATTTTTACGACGCGATGTAGATGATCTTTGATGATTTAGGTCATTTTCGTTGATCGTAGTTTTTCTTGTTGAGAAAAGCATTTGTTCATCCAGATGCCTTAGTGAGGGTTTTGGTCGGGGACATGGTCCTCGTTTATCAGCGCCCCTTCACTTGACTAGTGGTGGAAGGGTGGTTTTGGCATTGATGTCGAATTCACCTTTATCCTCTGCTTTTCAGGTACTATGACCGACAATGTTGGAGACGGTCTTTCGAATGGACGGACCAGATCTTCCTAGAGCTCTATAGACGATACTTGTAGTACGTCGAGCATCCTAGAGATATTTGAGGATGAGCTGAACTAGTCTGATCAGCACGTAGGGGGAGAAGACGTGGAGATGGCGCCTGCTGATCAGGATGACCTTGGGATTGGGTTTCCTACTTCTTCGAGCACCATGATGAGGTTTTTACTGAAGTGTATGTGTACGACGACAAAGGTCGGGGGGTGGTTGCTCTGGATCCCTGGGAAAGATAGTCGGATCTGCTCAAAGTATGATAAGCGGTGGATCCCCATGTATGATATAGTGTTCCGAGAGATGGGCTTTCGAGTCCCCTTCTCAGATTTTTAGGTGTCCATTTTTCGGCACCTTCGACTGGCTCCTTCTTAATTGCATCCAAACAAGGTCTCTTTTATGCGATTGTTCGATATTGTTTGCGATTATTTGAAGATAGGGGCCACTATTCTTTTGTTCTTCTACTGTTTCCATCTCTAGAGGAGCAAGGTTGATAGCAAGTGGGGATGGGTCGCCTTGAAGCAGGGAAATCAAAATTTGTTTAAAGTTTACCTGGAGTCCGTTTGACACTTCAAGGATAAGTATATTCTTGTGCAGCCTCTTTCGAGCAGGGCGATGCTGAATGTTTTTTGGTCTACTCCAGAATATGATGAGAATAAGGCTCCTGTCTTGAACGAGCTGGGAGAGCAAGTGAATAAATTAGTCTACAAGTTCCCTTTTCAGTGGACGAGGAAGCATTTCGACAATAAGTTAGGTTCCTATGTATGGAAGGAGGGGGAGCTTGGTGACAAGGACCCGACGAGCTTTTTCGTTTTGACCACTTTCATCGTGCGGATTCCTCGCGTCCAGTATGCAGGCCGGGGAGGAAAGCCGGTCACGGATAAGAATGTGGAGATCATGTACGAGTGTGATCTGATAGCCGTTAAGGAGCTTCTCGAGAGCGAGGATCCTGTTAAATACTTGGGTATTTAATTTTATGTTTCGAATAATTGTACATGGTTGACATCTTTAAGTCCTCATTTGCTAACTTTGATTTTCTGTTTACTCTGCAGATAGCATGAATCCTGCTCAGGAACGCATAGCCAGGAACTTTGTCGCGAAAGTGATGAAAGCGTTGAAGGATACCCAAATCGGTTCGGGGATGACTCCCACGTCAGGGTCGAGCAACTCATCCTCGGGTCAAGCTGTTGCCGCCCTCTCTTCTGCTCATGTCTCCTCGAAGGCGAAGAGGCCACACATTGAGGGGAGTGTTGATCTGACCTGGGAAAAAGGGAAATGGAAGTATGACTTGCCCCCTGCTGGCTGGAAAAGGCTTTCTTTGAGGCTGCCACTCTTAAACTCCCCCGAGCTGAGTCTCTTCACCTCGAGGGGACGGATCGCCCGGAGAAAAGGGTGGTATTGACGCAGGATGCTGGTGGCTTGATAAGGATACTTGAGATGTCGGTCTCTTACACCGAGGGGAGATCTTCTCAAGAGGCTGAGCTGAAGAAGCTACGAGCCAAGTTGGCGGCAACTGAGAAGGGGCAGAGTGATGAGCAGAAGGCTTGGAAGCTGGCCGAGGAGGACTTGGGGAAGCTATCCGAGGAGCATAGAGTCTGGTTGCTCGAAAATAAGGCTCTGGAGGAGAGGGTGACAATCATGACTGTCAAGGTTGCGCCTACCGAAGACAAGTTGGAGGATATAAAGGATTTGAAGATCTGGGCCGAGCTGGTCGCTTGTTTCCAATTGGTGATGGATGATGCCCAGGCCGCCTCCAATGAGAGCTTCGAGAACACGCTGAAGTAAGACACTTATATTTGTCATTCGCTGGTGGATATTGTTGTTCAGAGTAGTCTTCATCTTCTTCCTCTTCTTCCTCTTCAACCTCGGATTCAGAAGGTACGACAGTTCCTTTCCCTTTACCGGCCCCTTCGTCAGACATTGAGGGGAACTCAAGAACCTTCCTAGCATTGCTCTCAAACCTTCTTCCAAAAGTGGCTACCCCAGGTCTCTTTTTCTTTTTCTCTTTATTCTTCTCCAACAACACTTTGAGGTCCTCTTGACCCTTTGCCAAGGTCATGAGGAGTTGCTGGAATTGTGAATTTTGTGCCTGTAGATCCTTTACCGTTTGCTCCAAATCCATCTTGCTAAAATAAACAGCAGAAAGATAAGGAAACCTGGCGTGAAGACCTGTTCATGCATATGATGAATGGTATGCTATTCATGTAATGCATTCAAGGGTTCAAAAATTCAGATTTGTTGCAAACAAAAAGAACGCACGTCATATTAAGAAGAAATTTGTTAGTACATAAGTGCCCCATGGGCGAAATATTACAAAATTCTTAGTGTAAAAAGACATTGCACATCCTCTTTGGTGCGATGTAAGTGTTGAGAGTTTCCTCCTCGTGAAGTCGGCGGGTGAGCTCCAAAACCTTCTTCTCACTGGCATAGAAGCTGGCTTCAAAAGTATCCCGTTATTCCTTGA